AACCCCATGCATATAAAAAATTTAAATTATAGATCTTAAAAATTTACTTAGTGCTTGTGTTTGAAACATGTTTCTATTTCTTTCAAGAAATAATGAATCTTTTTATTCATTATATTTGCATTAATATTTACCATATTGATAAAAGTTGCCTTAAAATACTGCCTTCTGATTTTTATACTTGAAGTATCAATGGGTTTGGCTAAGTGACTATATTTTGTTTTGTATTTTAGTAGTTCACGGGGTCCCACATTGTCCCATGTCTTACAATTCTGAATATAGTTTTTCATAAAGTAAATTGAGACTGAAGTAGATTTCCACATATTTTTTTCCCAAAAAGTACAAACCAACTCCTACCTCTTAAAGAGGATGAGACATGATCATTCAGCTTCCTCTCACAGTGGAGTCCAACTGGACTCTGCCTTATCATCAATTGTGTTCCATCTGCCTGTGATTACCTCAATCTTCATTCATCAGCTCTACCTCTCACCTCCATTTTTGTTTTCTTTCTTTTGAAGTGCACATTTAAATTTAACACACTGTGTTAAACCTGAAACTGGGAACTTGGAAGTCAGAGGATATGTAACCAGTAATTCCTGGAAGACATAGTCCTCACTTAAGAAAGACTAGAAAAGAGAGGCCACTTGTGACACTTAGTTAGTAGAGAACACTTGGAGCCCCTGGAAACTCCTGGGAGAATCCAGAATTCTCTCACCCAAGAGCAGAGGCATTACAGAGTATACACTGAGTTTAGAATAAGTTGAGCTTGGTATTTAACGAGACATCTGGTCTTGTGTGCATCGTGATAATCCCTCACACATAGGTCACAAAGAGAAAAGTTTGCAGCACAGCTACTGAAATGACTCCCCAGATGGCTATGAACTAAGAGAGAATGAAATAAAATTCAGGAACAAATAAAATGTTCCACTGGGAACTTTATGCCTCTGTCCTCCCCAATGGTGTTTTGTCACCTTTCTACAGACATTAAAATTGCAGGCCTCCCTAGGGATGAGCTAATGGTATCTTTTCCTTAAATCTATGCTGCTCTTCTTATGTCCATTGCAGCCCTCAATACTTCTCTTTGTGTCAGTGCTGCTGTATTCCAGGGATGTAGAATCAGGGTCCCAGGCTGCAATGGAAGGAAGCCAGTGGGTTCTCTGAGTGAGGCTTTTTATGGACTCCAATGGACTGTCCAGGTCCAGGCATCACACAGCTCAGAGGATGGAGCACTCTGCAATGCTGTGGAAAATTGTCTGGTTAGTGCATTTGGAGCATTTATTTAATCACTTATTAAGTTTGTGGATTTTTTAATGAAATACAAAGTTAGTTTCAAGTCTGAATTTTTTTCTCTGAAGTAAATGACTTGATTTATTGCTTGTAGCAATTCTAGAAGGTATTAGCTTGTCACTTTAGACTAAAAAGTTGCATTTACAAGCCTAATGAAAGAGAAATAGTCACTAAAATCTTCATTAATTTTTTTTTTTTTTTTTTTTTGGTTTTGGTTTTTCTCTGGTACCAGGAACCGAACTCACGACCTTGCACTTACCAGGCAGGCGCTTTTGCCGCTGAGCTAAATCCCCAGCCTCCTTCATTAATTTTATCCTTAGTTTTTCTTATCTTTATAGAGCAACTAACTGTTGTAGAATAAGTGACTGCTATACTTCAATTTATTTAAAAATATTTTAAATTATTTAATATGAAATGGTGTGTTTTATTGAAAGTATCTGTCTATAAATAGAGTTTCAGCTCATTTCTGAAAGTACTTGTACTACAGGTAATTTAAAAATTTTTATCTTAATGGTGTCAACACTTTAATCATGTGCTGTACCTGTTAGGAAATCTTGTGTCACAGGACAATGAATTTTGCACTGAATGAAAAATAAAAGAAGTTTTCTTGAAAATGGTCTAAGAATATAATCAGAAAATATTAAGGAAAAAGACTATGTCCATTAATGTCTTCCCAGATAATTTCATTGTTAAAATAAGTATTTGTTTTCATTGATAAAACCTATAACAAAACTCATCTCGTGAGGGGAAAATTTTAAAGCAAGATATTATCAACTGTTCCCATAACTATACATGGGTATTAGACCCCTACCACCCAGCATTGATTATTTAACCATTTATTTTCAAGAGATAAATGTGAACTAAACCTCTTTTCTTGGTAAACAATTACAAAGGACGTGATGATAGGTAAAAATGAAAATTGGATCCCAATACTGTAAAGTGATCTTTATTTCATTACTAGATTAAGTAGAAAACCTTCGGATGCAAAGCCTTCTCTATTTCTGAGAAGTGACAGCTTTGTATTTCTGACAAAGCCCTAGTAGGTTTTTTCTGTTTCTGTACTTGGAATAGTGATCCATTTCACTTGATTTTTCTCAATACCCATGTAAACATCTTAATACTGAAAACACTCTTTAAAAAGCAAGCACTCTGAGTGATGTAGTAGTCGATTAAATTTGCAAAAGCAATAGATAATTTGCACTCTTTGAGGGTATAGGGTAGGGGAAAACATTGTTGCCTTTATGTGACGTATTCTTATCTTTCTAGGAATTCTGTTTTTCAGCACTGACCAAATAGTTGCTGATCAATTTGTCTTCCTTTTAGGTGTTAGCTATTTCTCCCACATTCTCTTCTTAGTTGTCTAGCTGCAATTTTGTGAAACAGTGGATTTTAGAGAGGAATATGTCCTCAGACCTACTGATTCCAATGTGCATGTTAAGTCCCACTTCCCAGGTCCAGTTTTCTCTTTTATCTTCATTTATAGATAAGGGCAATACTAAAGATCATGATGTGAAACTGATGTACATAGTGCAATAAGACACCAAGGTAGGTTCTTTCCTGTATCTAAGTCACATGATTAAGTGCTGAATATGAATCACCTCCTCCCAGAGCAATATGCAGATTATGCTCATATTGCGGCTGAGAAAGGAGATACGTCCTCTCTGCTTTACTTTTTTCACCCTGTTACCCATCCACTTACAAGGCCATAGGCACTCAAAACTGCATGGCATTCTGCAGAAGCCTCTCCTCCTTGCATTAACTACAGTTCTCTTCCACACACTGCCTTGGGCACATGAACTTGAGCATTCTTCCTGGTTCTACACCATTTGATGATAAGGTACACCAGAGGATTGTCCATGATCTTGCAAAGTGTGAAAACATACAAATGTTTCCAACGAGTCCTTCCTGGATTCTGGTGTTAATGGGAAAATCAATTGTGTTCCATTTCTCCTGAGTGTACCCCCATTTTTCATTATGAGTTTTGAAGACTGCTAAAGGAAGCAAGCCAAAAAGATTTTTCTTTGACATTTACTCCTCCATTTATGCTTAGTTTTTCCTTATGCTGCCCCATAGGCCTTTCCTACCTCTTTCCCAATGTGGTACTTGGAATGTGACCAGTTTTAGGACTTTTTTCTGTGTTAATCTCCTTTGGTTTATTCAGGTATTTACTAAGCTCAAGTCTCTATGAGGGCAGCTTGTTTCTTGGAGTGTATAAAATGAGATTTTGTGTTTAGTACTTGAGTACCTTATCAAAATTATCCAGGTGCCTCATCAACATTGTCACCCCTTCATGCCACATTGCAGGGGGAATCACAGTCCATCCAGCTGATGGAGAGAGTTTCTGTCATATTTCCAGATGTCCTCAACTCTGCTGTGCTAGGCAGGTATGAGCTGGATGAGGCATGGCTGGGAAGGGATATTCTGGAGAATTTTTTTTAACTTTTCTTGCTAAAACTCTTCATACTCTTCAGAATATATTTTCTTATAAAGTGATGTGTTCTGTATACCTTTCTTTATACCAATTATATGCAAATATAGTGTGAAAACACTTGATATATGCTTTTTGCATTTCACTAATACATAGGTGTATGATTCATAATATTGTATTTGGATACTGCTGGGTTAGTGATATTTTCTGTCATTTCTCAGAGTGCTCTACGGAATCTAATGTAATTGAGTGATTGTGATTGCACCACATTGTATCACTTTCCTAGATTAATACTCGAGAAAGAATATCAACTTTTATGCTCCAAATAAGATTTACCACTTTTAGGAAATTAGCCACTGTTCCTATGAAATCTTCAATGTTATGTTAGTCTCTGACATAAGCACATATCTGTCATGACACAGCCATTTGTCTTCATAGAAGCACAGTTCCCCTAAATATGCTGAAAATAATGTAATCTTCTCCCCTCAGTTTATAAATGATTTGATTATACTCCTTGACCAGTTTTATAAACTTATGTATTGGTTAAGGCTCAATGATTTCAAATAAAAAAATCTCTAGCCTGAACTTTGGAAGTATCAAATGAGAAGATAATTTTGTAATTCACATAATTTGTTCTAAAATACTAACTTCAAGGATTATATATCTATTAGTGTTATGTATTTAATATTATCAGGAAATATTTTTAACTTTCCAAAAATACATTCATAGGAAATAGGTACTTGAGGTACCTTATCAAAATTATATGCATCATTTCTGAATACATGAAATACACAACCATTTAGGGTACTGTATATTATGACAGCATGTTATCCACAAAACTCAGAGACAGCCAAATAAAAAGGTTAAAATGTCCTGTTCTTTATCCTGGGCACATCATGTGAGAAAAACCTTAATTTGTTGAATGTGTGAATACAGATCCAAAGGTAGATAAGAATCTGGACCAAACTTTGAAAACTAAAAGTGACACAAAATACGAAAATATGACCTATCCTAGGAAAGTTTTATTGCAGAGATAGTGTAGAACCCCAGCTGAAGCTTCATGATCTGCTGCTGATTGGAAAGGGTTGAGCCATGGGAGAGAGTTGTGAAGTGTCCAAAAGGACATGGGTAGGAGTTGAGTAGGGAAGAGGGAACGGGACACACTGGAATGAATCTGCATATTGTGATGAGCGTGTAGTGTTGGTTGAGATTGATGAAAGAGGCAAGATTTCTGATAAAGAATTTTCTGTGATTTTTCCTTAGATATATACTGTGTGTTGCTTCCACCATGGAGATAAAGAAAAGCACCAAATTTTCCAGGTTTTTTGTCATTGGAAACATGTTTTTCTTTGAAGTCAGCCTTGGGATCGTGACCAACACTGTTCTGCTTCTCTTTCATGTCCTCACATTCTTTCTGCAGTACAGGCACAAGCCCATTGATCAGACCATTGGCCACTTGGCCCTGATCCACTTAGTGATGCTCCTAACTGTGGGATTCATGTTTATAGACATTTCTGGCTTTGAGGATTTCTGGAATGATGCCACATGTAAATGTGTTCTCTATTTGTACAGGGTGATGAGGGGCCTCTCCATCTCTACCACCTGCCTGCTGAGTGTGCTCCAGGCCATCACTCTTAACCCAGGAAACTCCTGTCTGGCAAAATTCAGACAGAAGCCCCTGCATCAGAACCTGTGTTGCTTTCTCTTTTTATGGGTTTTCAATATGATCGCCAGTGGTCGTTTCTTAATCTCCACTATTGCCACCCCTAATGTGTCCTCACAGAGTCTTATATTTGTCACGGAATCCTGCTCTCTTCGTCCCATCAGTTACTTAGTCAAGTACATATATTTCTCACTGGTGACCTTCAGGGATGTGTCCTTTATAGGGCTTATGATGTTCTCAAATGGGTACATGCTGATCCTCTTGTGCAGGCATAAAAAGCGGTCCCAGCATCTTCGTAGCACCAGCCTATCCCCAAAAGCATCTCCAGAACAAAGGGCCACCCAGACTATCCTGGTGCTCATGAGTTTCTTTATGATCATATACTTTTCGGACGGTGTTATTGCCTCCACTTCTGGAATCTTGTGGAAAAATGACCCCATTCGTTATTGTGTCCAAATGCTCTTGAGCAATGGCTATGCTACGTTCAGCCCCTTGGTGCTAATCAGTACTAAAAAACAGATGATCAAGGGCTTAGTATCCATGTGGGGAAGGTCAGTAAATGTCAGATTGTTCACTGATGAATATTTGCCCTGAAGAGGGGCATATGCTTTGAAATTCTGTTGAATTATTGAAATATGTGGCAGAATGCCTAGTCTGTTAAACAGATTTATGTTAATATGTGTGGCTGAGAAATATATCCCAGATAACGTAATGGTATAGTTCTTTGACTGAGCACAGACCTCTAATTGCAAACCTATTTCATACATCTATCATACAATTAGCATATGTGTATTGTAAGCTACACATAAAGAGTTTAGGATGGTTCTCAGCTCCTGCAGTGGGGGACTTTAAAAGTATTCACTGTGATGTTATCTTTTGCTGAAATTAACTACAGTCAGTACCCCGATCTATGGATTCTTCCCCTGTGGATTCAACCAAAGTTTAATCAAAAATATTTGAAAAAAGTGCCCTTGTTCTGTACATACTTTTTTGTCATTGTTCCTTAATCAGTATAACCACTATTTGCATTGTGTTACGATTAAAAGTAATCTAGAAAGGAAAAAAAGAACTAGAACTACCTTGTAGTAAGCAAATTAAAAAATAGATGACAGAAAGTGGGACGTAAATATTTTGTAAAATGAAAGGAGTCAAAGATAGACGAAGGAGGAAGAAAGGGAGGTGAAGGGAAGAAAAGAATTAAGATGTATTGTGTACATGTACCAACTCCCCATGAGCAATGTAATCATGTACTGCAAACACACACCAAGAAAAATAAAGTACTAACTAAAGAAAAAAGAAAATTTGGAAGTTAGCTGAGGTTATAATTTTATATTTGTTCTATATATTGTTATTAGTTTGTATTTTTTCATATATACAATTCATTTTATTTCAGTTACACCTGTTTATATTTTGCTATTGTTCTTTATTTACTGTTCTCTTTAAAATACAAAAAAAAATTAAAAAACTGAAAAAGAGAACATGAACTTGGATAAACAATTTAATGATTGTAATACTTTATTAAATAGTTTGTGTGTAGATTAATAGTCCAGATAACATAAATAAGTTTTGTGAGATAATATGTCTACTTGGCCTGATATGGAGTTGGAAAAAATCAATGCAAATTCTGGAAAATAAAATCATTACGGTGTTAGCTCTCCAGTTTTAATCTATAACATGAATAAATAACAACAGAAAGGCAACAAGTTTAATTATCTATTTCCTTGCTTAACTTATACACATACAAAATACAAAACTGGAGATAGAGGGGGCTGGAAATAGAGCTCAGGGGCACAGCATCTTCTGGCAAGCACGAGGTCCTGAGTTCAATTCTTGGCACCAAGAAAAAGGAGCTAGATAGTGGTAAGCAGAACATGACATAAATTGAAATCATCAATTCTTAGAATGTTGTTCCTAAGCATGTGTCATGTGGATATTGTTGCAGCAGATGCTACAAATGGCTAATCAGTGTGAAAACCTCATACTCTAAATCTCAGATAAATTAAGACAAATATTCATGTAAATACCTAGGATCATTTACAAAAATAAGTGTAACTCAAGAGTTTATATATGAAGAATTACCTAAAACCAGAATATTAAGCAAACTAAAATCCCTCTTGCCTTGAGGTCTTCAGTCATAGCTGAAGTATTCCGCATTTGTTTGGTCTAAAAAGACAAGGCACAGGATTTTTAGCATCTGATTAACAGAGCAGCAGACTCGTAGTGCAGATGTAGGGTACGTTAAGTTGCATCTTTAAAGAGAGATGCTGTGACATGACTAGTGGCAAATAAGACAGTAAAGCCAGTCCCCCAACATGGATGTGGTGGTAAGGCAACTTTTCCTTTAAACCCACTGAATTTCAAATTTAGCAAATATATGATTCAAATACCTCGTGGTAGTGATCCAGCTCATAGAAGTGGAAAGTGGAAATCCATCTCAACATTTCCCTGGATTTTAATTGTGTTCACATATGTGACCAGTAGTCAGATCAGTGGCTTTGACCTGTGCTCCAGAAGGAATGCAAGGACATGGAAGAGAAGCCAGATAGTGTTAGCCATAGCCCCAATATATGTGAGTGATTTTTTTTACATTATGCAACACTTCACAATTAACAGTATGCACATAGGTGGTCATTTCCTCCTCTCCACAATTGCTACCCCTAATGCGACCTCATATAGTCTTACATTTGTCACTCAATCCTGCTTTCTTTGGCCCATTGGTGACTTACTGAAATACGTAACTTTTTCCTTGATGACTTTTCAGTAAGCATTCTTTATAGGGCTGGTTGTGGTTTGGGGGTTTATTTTGCAAGGGGGAACAATATATAACACAGGAAACATATTTTATATGATTATTTATAACAGTCACCCGAAGAATAATATACAAGAGAGTGCAGGAAATCTGTCCACGCACTAAGACTAAGGAATCCAGCTGAGGGCCTGGATCCCACAGAAATGTCCTGCATGAGTCCAGCTGAAGACCTAAAGCTCATAACAATGCCTCCCACAAGACCACCTGGAGGCCTAGAGCCCATAACAATATCTCATGCAGGTCTGCTTCAGGGATCTGCACTGGGAAGGCCCAAAGATCAGTGGTGGAATCTAGCAAGTCTGTGCCGGTGGGATGAAGGATCTGTGCTAGCAGGCTGAGGGATCTGCACTGGAGCCAGGAAGTGATGCTCAGAGTAAGAACCAGAGCTCCCCCGAAAAGTACCGCAGCCATCCTCAGTAACAGTGAGGTCTCGAAGCTCCTCCAATGATCAAGATGTCTGAGTTCCCATCAGGAAAGCCAACACAGCAAGCTTCTCCAGGAGACTGGCAGTGCACCATCTTCCCCTCCGGAGCCAGGAAACGATGCTCAAAGTGAGGACCAGAGCTCCCCCAAAGTGAACCAAAGCCATTCTCAGTGCCAATGACATCCTGAGTTCCTCACAGGATGAAAATAGCCAAGCTCATCAGGAAAGCCAGCATGACAAGCTCCTCTAATAGAACCAACAGCACCTTACAGCTTCTACCAGCTCCCAACAGCCTTCCTCAGTTCCCAGCAGCCTTTCAGCTCCCAAAAGCCTCACTTCTTCTTCTCCTGTTCTGCTTCTTATGTTGCTGGCAGCAATCCCCAGGTGGGCCTCCCATGCCCAGTACCACCCTTCCTCAGTTCAGCTGTAATATGCTTCTTAGCTACAGTCAATAAAAATGTATTGCCTGTTTCAAAATTGCTTAAAGAATAATTTATTCTCACCAAAAAGAAAAGAAATTTTATAAAGGGAAGCATATGTTAATTAGTTTGATTTAATGGTTCTAAAATGTATTCATAGATCAAAATATACCTTTGCACCCTCTAAATATACCAATTTTTTACTTCTTAATTAAAGTTTACAAAAGAAAGAGAAGGAGATTAAGGAACAATTGTTTCTTTAGAAAGAGTATAATCATAAAACTACACAAATATCACAAAACATAGATTTTTCATTCTTGGTGCTCTGCAAACCCAAACAAAAAAAAATGGGAGGAAAACCATAACTCACACAAAAAATCAAACATGGTTGCAATCCCAGGATAAAAATATGTAAAAGGAGTTAGAGATAGAGGATATATTACACATGGAAAAACAACAACTTAAATGATCTTGAAATTCTCAGTGTTGGAAAGAAACAAATATGCTTACATCCAATAGACAAAAATAAACAAAACAAAAACCTAGCAAGCTCAGAGTTACGATATTCAACATATTGTTAACTGGTATGGAACTAAGAGAATAATTTGCAAGCATTTCTTCTGTGATGATACACTAAATAAAGTACTCCATGCTAAACTGGAGTACTGCACAGGCAAATGCGGATCTTTAGGAGTTAATGAATAGAAGAGATATTGCAATGTTTGGACAACTAGAAAAAATTATGTTTATTTCTTTGTGGAGGATTTTTGTTGTTTTTCTTTTTTTATTTTAAAGAGAAAAGAACAAAAATAAAATAACAAAAACAAAGACAAAAATAAAACAAGACAAAAACTATAAAAATGATACAGAATTTGAAAACAAGATGGTAGGAAATCAATAATGATTGTTGTATCACTTATTGTTATCTTCAGAATAGTTCCTCAGATTGTCAGATATAGGTACTGCAAACAAAAACAAGATTGATTGATCTTGTTTTTTTGTTTGCTTGCTTGTTTGCAGCACTAGAGATGAACCCAGAACCATCTCAGTGAGTTGCATCTCCAGTCTTTCATATTTATTTAAAAATTTTTTTCTAGTTTGAGAAACTGAAAGTGTAAATAAGGAGCAGAATATATATTAGATATTGTAAAATGGGAAAAAAATTGTTTGAAAGGAAAAGGGAATATAGTGGAGGGAGGAAGGAAGGGGAAAGAAAATATGAGAAGAAAGAATAAAATGGAAACAAAATTTTGTGGGTAAGGAGAGGAAGAGGGAGTGAGGGGAGGAGAGTGGAAGGGGGAATGGGAAGGAAAAAAGTGGAACTAAGACTACCATATACAGATACAAGTTCCCTATGATGAATATGATCATTATGTATATCTAAATTGTACGAATAAAAATAATAAATATTTTAAAATTGAGATAGGGTCTTTTTAAGTCACTAAAATACCCATGCTTGGCTTGAACTTCAGATCCTCCTGCTTCAGATTCTCATAGTGCTGGCATAACAGGTTTGTAACAACACGCCAATTCATTTCACACATTTTGAAACTGCCAGTGAAACTAATTTAAACTAGTCTGATGAGGATTTTTCTGTGTGGGAATGTAACACAGAAGATATTGATGATGCTGTACATGAATCTGTATTTCCTCAAAGTTTATATAAAGTAGTAAAGTATATTAATTCTGAGTAAATGGCAAAAGGTTATATATGCAAATTGTTGGTCCAAGTGTAGCCATGAAGAACATTATTGAAAGGGATATTATCAAATGCCTATTGATAAATTGATTACATTTTTAAGATTAGAAAATCAAGCATGACAGAAAGAAGGATAGGTGCACGTGTGCTCACACACACACAAGACTGTAAGCAAGAAACACCATTCCAAATAAAGATTCTCCATAAAGGTACATTAGATATTGTGAAATAGGAAGAAATTGC